CTTGCGTGGCAGTCCAGCATGGTAAATGTTCGGCCACAGACGCAGTTGCAGTGCCACTCAGAGCTTTACATCGCAAAGATCTGAGGGACACCCTGAGACATAAAGTGACAATTCTTTTGTGCCTGTAATTTCATCAACACCCTTATCACACTTTCATTTCACTATCTCACATTACTACTTGGCGGCAGAAATAGATGAGATGGCAGGCAGTACTTCCCTGGAGAGTCGCAAAAGGAGGCTGCGGAGCGGGTGCGCGAGGACGCGGAGGACGCGCACCCTCTTCGGTGCAGACGTACGGGGAGAAGGCAGTTCGCTGCTCGCCTGATCCCCTAGTGAGGCCAGCGGGCTCTGGACAGGGACTCCGGAGCCTGCATTGCACGGCCTCACTCGTCTGGGGGGCGGGTCGGAGGACAACTGACCTGCTCCTCCGCTGGCGCGGGAGCCCTGGCGCAAGCTAGGGCGGCCGGGTGGCGTCGTGGTGAATGTGCACCGACTCCACGGCGCAGAAGGATAACAATTCGAAAGTTATATAATGTACAGTCATTCACTATAAATAAGATCACAATCACGTTAAAATTTTGTCTAAGGACTTCAAATTTGAGTTCATTTTTTTCATTACACGAAATTACTTAATGAGGATTGAAATGAATATTCCTGGAGTTTGCGTCCGGTCGTTGAGAAAGTTTAATTGGTTGTTTGAGGCCTTTCCTTGAAATTAGGTTTTTAGAATAGAATAGAATAGAATAGAAGTCGTTTATTACTACGACACAACAAAAATATACACAGTAATAAAATGAAGACAAAAAAAAAGATGAAGCTACATTAAAACAAAAAATTAAAATAAAAATAACTAGAAAAAAAAAGGAATAAAAATAACATCATACACATCAACAAAGCAAACATGAAATATTTAACACAATTAGACTAAGTGTCATGTGCGCGGCTGTGGCGTAAGTAACAGGATCCCACTCAGCTATTGTCACCACTGAGGAAAGGCTGTGACGCTGATTTTCAGTGGGCCCTAAAACCGAGGGAGTACTGGACGTGTGTGTCGCGAATATACGAGTAAACTTAAATAAATTACATAAATATTTCTATAATGTGGTGTGTTGTGTTCAGTTATATGTATAGAATACTTAAATAATGATTTTGATACATATATAAAGTGATAAGTGTATGTAGTGTAGTGTCCAACATTTACAACAAACAAAATAGATCTTATTTAGTTTAAAATTAAACCGATTGTGAGATTTGTGTCACGTGTACTACGCAAGAAGAGAGGGTAGGCGCGCGGGAGGGGTCCCCGGCTTACGAGCACGGGATACTGATTTCACGAGCCAGCAAAAGTGCAGCACACTCCATTGTAAACACTAAACAGGTTTTGTCCTGCGTCGTAGGTAATTAGCTCGCATAATAGCGTGCAGTCTCCTATACCATAAGAGATACGTACTAATCTGTATAACTTATAAACTTTACAGGTTATCATGAATAATCTTATTGCATAATGAATTGTATATTGAATAAAAGTTTAAAAAAAATTAAATGATAATTGATTAATAAAAGATTAACAATGAAAAATAGTAATAATTAATAACATTTTTCAGGGAAAATAAACAATCAAATATATTATTTATATCGCTTGCCCTATCCCGCATAACAATGATGACGATGTCCGCCGCGCACCCATGCCATAAGTCGAATAACAGTGCGGTAAGTGCCCATGTAAACTTATACGGTTTTTTTTTTTAATGTCTAAAAGATATTGTTTATATTTGCTTTTAAAC